TTTTTTTTTATTTTTTGTATTTTCCAATTGTGCATGCCAGAAAATGATACAAGGAAACACAGAAACTGCTGGCAGGGGGAGTGGATAAGTATTACAGGCTTAGGATTCCAAAATTCACAGTTTTAGCATAGAACTGGCTTCAGATTTCGCTTGAGGGCAGGGAATAATACGGAAGAGATTGACTTGAAGTATCACATCTGGCCAGTTTGCTGTTCCATCCTCTTTTATTTGCTCAGGCTGCRAGGGATTCAGAGGGAATAGTTCCCTCCTTTGCCTCTGGGGTGAAGTTATTGCCTCCTCCACAGGATAAAATAACAGGAAAAGAGTGTATTCCATGGGCTGGAGCCTGCAGCAGTGGAACAAACACTGCTCTCACTTCCCAGGTAGGGCTGGAGCTGCTCCTCTCTGATTGCAGCCCCCAGGACTTCCTCACACACCAGTTGCTGCTGGGCAGCATCACAGAATTTTCCAGCCATCTGCTTGCATAAATCTATTTCTTCCAGCRTGGCAGAGAAAGGCAGAGAGAGAACCAGAAGGATTTTTCTCTTATGCTCATCCTCGGGGTGCAGAACCCCTCTCCATTTGTTATCTTCAGCAGCGCTCTGAAGATGCTTTTGGAAAGGAGCAGAGGAAGCCTCTTCCCATAGAGCCATGAGCAGGTGTTTGTGATAAAACCCACATGCCAACTGTGCTCCTCAGTGGCCTTTTTTAGCTTCTTCTCCAGCCAAGTTGCTAAATCTGTTGTGTTTGTGGTTTGCTGTGTATTGAAAAAGCGAGGATTGCTGTCCCTGGTGAGCTCATTAGGTTGCTAATTCTGTGACTGTGCCAGGAGAAAAAAACGGGTTTGCTGTTTGTTAATACATTGCTGAAACCAGAGAGGTGTCCTGGACATTGAGGCTGCTGATGGATGCTGATGGTGAGCRAAGTTTGGGACCTAAAATCAGTGGGAAGAATATTCCCCAGGGAAAGGGACAGTGAGCCAGGGTGATCCCAGCTGTGGCCTTCAGTAGCTGAAGGAGCACACAAGGAAGATGGAGAACATTTACAAGGAGTAAGGAAAAACCCATCAAACTACAAGTTTACCCCAGTGCTGAGTAGAATGAGGCATTTTCTGAGGGCTCAGAATGATCCCA